AGAAGCGACAAACATGATATTCCATGATTTTGCCCATCAAGCCTAGCTAGAACTTGAGCGCGCGCGAAGCGCGCATTTTTTATCATATTTATATACGCACACACACATATATATGTGTGTATGTGTGTATATATATATATATATATATATATGTATGGTAGGGGCGGTTCCTAAGATCCGTGTTTGCATGTTTGTGAAATGATGTTCTTTGGAATCGACCCCTCTCTCTCTCTCTCTCTCTCTCTCTTTGGAACGGAAAACCAGCAAAAACAGCAACATCAATCAAAACCTAAAGAAAAACCAGGAACATCAAAGCCCCAGGCAAAACAAATCAACGAAATCAAAGCCCCGAGTGGTTTTCAGACGGGAAGCATTGAAAAACCTTAGGTTTTCTTTGGCTTTTTCAATTAAAAACAGGTCAGGGCCTTGATTTCGTTTGTTTTCTTGCTCGGGGCTTTGTTTTTTCTTGGTTTGTCTTTAGGTTTTGACTGATTTTTATTGTGTTTGTTAGTTTCTGCTGCCCGCGCCCTCTCTGGGGGTGAGGTGGCGGCGGCGCTGGGAGGGTCAGGGAGCGGAAAACCAACAAAAACAGTAAAATCAGTCACAACCTAAAGAAAAACCAGGAAAATCGAAGCCCCAGGCAAAACAAATCAACGAAATCAAAGCCCCGAGTGGTTTCAGACGGGAAACATTGAACCATCTTAGGTTGTCTTTGGTTTTTCAATTAAAAACAGCTCAGGGCCTTGATTTCGTTGTTTTTGTTTGCTTGGGGCTGTTTTTTTTGGTTTTCATCATAGTTGTTCCTTAAGTTTTGATTGATGTTACTGTTTTTGTTGGTTTCTGCTCCCCGCGCCTTCTCTGGGGGTGAGGTGGAGGCGGCGCTGGGAGGGCCAGGGAGCGGAAAGCCAACACAAACAGTAAAATCAGTCAAAGCCTAAGGAACAACCAGGAAAATCAAAGCCCCGGGCAAAAAAAAAAAACAACGAAATCAAGGCTCCGAGTGGTTTCCAGACGGGAAACATTGAAAAACCTCAGGTTTTCGTTGTGTGTATATATATGTATATATATATATATATATATATATATATATATATATTATATATAATATATATATATATATATATATATATATATATCACATTACCTAAGATAAATTTGTTTTTTTGAGATTCCGTTTGTGGAGGACTACGATAGGATTCCTTCTGTCGAAGATTACCATAGGATTCCTTTCGTGGATGATTACAAAAGGAATTATTGTGCGGTGACCTTCAATATGATTATTTTTGTAGAGGGTTCCAATAGCAAGCAATTTGTCAGTTGCCAGGAAAATGATCAATCTGTAAGCCGCCACAAAGGACCTCTGGAGCTTTTTTTATGTAAAAAAGGTTGCATGTTTTGCCAATGTCGGAACGATGGGGGGGGAATACACACAGGCGTTTCTAGGTTGCCGGTTGAGGATCTTCGGTTTAGCGGTTGGACATTTCCATAAAACGCGCGCGTGCCTCACGATTGCAAGCGCTTGCCGCTGCCCACGAAGACTTTTCTATGGCAGCCCATTGAAATTCACGGCAAAGCGCCCTGGGGGGTGGGCTTTCTTGCAAGCGTAAAAGGGGGAAACAATACAATCAGTCAAAACCTAAAGAAAAACAATGAAAATCAAAGCCCCAGGCAAACAAATCAACGAAATCAAAGCCCCGAGTTGTTTTCAGACGGGAAACATTGAACCACCTCAGGTTTTCTTTGGTTTTTCAATTAGAAACAGCTCAGGGCCTTGATTTCGTTGTTTTTTTTGCTTGGGGCTTTTTTTTTGTTTCATAGTTGTTCCTTAAGTTTTGACTGATTTTACTGTTTTTGTTGATTTCTGCTGCCCGTGCCCCCTCTGGGGGTGAGGTGGCGGCGGCGCTGGGAGGGCCAGGGAGCGGAAAGCCAACAACAACAGTAAAATCAGTCAACGCCTAAGGACAAAACAGGACAATCAAAGCCCCAGGCAAACAAAAAAACAACGAAATCAAGGCTCCGAGCGGCTGTCAGACGGGAAACATTGAAACACCTTAGGTTTTCTTTTGTTTTTCAATTAACAATCAGCTCAGGGCCTTGATTTCGTTGATTGTTTTGCCTGGGGTTTTGGTTTTGTTCATAGTTGTTCCTTAGGTTTTGACTGATTTTACTGTTTTTGTTGGTTTCTGCTGCCCGCGCCCTCTCTGGGGGTGAGGTGGAGGCGGCGCTGGGAGGGCCAGGGAGCTGAAAACCAATAAAAACAGTAACATCAGTCAAAACTTAGGGGAAAACCATGAAAATCAAAGCCCCAGGCAAGAAAATCAACGAAATCAAAGCCCCGAGCGTTTTTTTTCAGACGGGAAGCATTGAAGCACCTTAGGTTTTCTTTTGTTTTTCAATTAAAAACAGCTCAGGGCCTTGACTTCGTTGATTGTTTTGCTTGGGTTGTTTCTCTTCTGGTTTTCCTTAAGTTTTGACTGAATTTGCTGTTTTTGTTGGGTTCTGGCGTGTCTTGGCCGCTGCAGATCATGCGCATTCGATATGTGTTCTCTCCCACCACCTTCAAAGTAGCAACCATGCCCTCTGCGGCGTTGCTTTTGAATCTGCTCCCCGCCGTAGGCGTTCAGGCTCAAAGTGCTGCGAGATCAGCCATTGCCTGTTTAACTTACAAGACAGTCGGCTTGCACCTTGTGCATTTACATCGATCGATCATGATGCCCCTTCACCTGCAACTGTGCTTCTTGATTGGTTTCGCGGCGAACGCCAACGCCGTCGGCAAATTCGTCATCGACGACGGCGAGGGACACGCCTACGCACTGATTGTAGGCGAGCACTGCATCATCAGCTTCTGCTCTGGGCTCGCGGAGCTGATCACGACGCAGGAGCTCGGAGACGTCGACAACAACGCCCGCTCGCGGATCTTCTGCGTCTCCGACGTGGCTTGCGGCATCGGCGGCGATGGCGACAGCATGTGCGGCGGCAAATCTGTTAAAACCTGCAAGCGGAAGGCCGCGCAGAACCGCCCGATGAAAGGCATCCAAAAGCGACCGGCGTCTTGTTTTCCAGCGCCTGAGCGAGGGAAACGGCGCATGTGCGCGCGCCCAGAGAAGCTGGACAAAAACAAGTTTTCTGCGCTTTGGAAGAAGACACCGTATGTCAGGTACGGCAGCAAACAGCGCGTCAAGCGCGACAGGCAGACCTGGTCAAAGAGCTTGGAGAAAGTCGATGCCATGACGGAGCACCAGCTCAGGAAGCACTTGACCCAGAGCGGCTTCTTGCCCGACTGGACTCAGCAGGTTTGCCCGCACTGTGGAAAGTACAGCGTTGGGAAATTGCGGAAGCGTTCAGACACTGGCACGTGGTGCTACAGGTGCAACGCGGACGATTGCCATAACTTCATCCTCCCGCACGCGAGCCATATGGTATTTAGGGATGGCCGGGGGAGAAGTCACAAGTCATTGACTTCGCAGGTGAAGCTTCTACTTGGGCTCACCGCTGGACTGACCACGGCCCAAGCCCATCTCCTATGGGAACTCGATGAATCTTTCATCAGGTGTTTCGCTGCGCGGCTGGACGCCGCCCGTGCAGTCAAGTAAATGGAGCCGAAAATCAAATTTGGCACCGGCAACAGTTCCACATGGCATGATATCGAGGCCGGCGAGGTGGACCTCAATAAGGAGATCGTGCGGGCGGCGGGCGGCAAACGAGCGCGGTGGCACCAATGGGCTAGATTGGTGCAGAGGGGCCATCCATCTTCGCTTGTGCTCTTCAGGACTTCTCCAAAATTGACCAATGTGCGGTCTCCAGGTCCTGGGCCCATAACCAAGAAGGACTGGGAGCCGCACGCGAAGAAATTTCTCAAGGGCCGATGCGTTTTCCTGCACACAGACGGTGCCCGCTCACACAGAATGGGCTTCAACCGAAAGCGAACTCTCGATGGAGTAATCCACAATTTCGTCGCGCACAAAAAGAAAAAGGTCGGGGGTAAATGGGCGAAGCCCAAATGCGTGCAGCTTTTCCGTCACCAGATGCCAGGCGGCGGCGTGATATGCACCAAGGGCGGCACGCAAATCATAGACAGGATTTGGCGCCACGTGCGCGAGGTCATGTCCAGTCGCTCCCCATCGGTGAACGAGCGTGGCTGGGGCAACCGAGTGCGATCCGCCCAGTGGCTGTTCTGGAATACTGGTTTAGATTTATGGAGCCAGACTGGCGTGATGTTTGCAAAGTGGAACTCCGATTCGTAGGTGTCCGCAAGGCCTTGGTGTGTGAACGCTTCTGTCCGAACTGCTGAAAACAAATATCTAGCTTAATCATTCTAACAGGGCGGTTGGCGGGGCGCGGTTTGGCTGGGCTGGCTGCTCTTGTTGGCCTGGTAAGTATTATTGTCTCGGTCGGTCACTTGCAACCGCCTGAACAAAGTGTCATTGTCGGGGCTGTTGTTGTTTCGTTGCGCGGCTAGCGCGGCTATAACTTTGGCATGACGGGTCTAGCCTGCATGTCGACGGGAGGATGGCAGGGTCGTCGACCAGGAAGATCCTTTCATTCTGCGGCAGTAAAACACGGATCTTAGGAACAGCCTCTCGCACATATATATATATATATATATATAGGTGCACACGCGCATACCGATGCCTTTTATATACACGCACATATACATACAACAGTTAAGCATACGTACAGCTATGTGCATGCATACATACAGCTATGCCATCACGCACCAGCAGGAGGGAGAGGAGGGAGGGGGTGGAGGGGGAGAGGGACCAGAAGTGGAGGTCAAGTGGTGAGTAGTGGGATATTGAGGATGATGGTGATGGTGATGATGGTGGTGGTGCTGGCGATGAAAAGGGACCAGAGCAGGAGGAGGAGGAGGGCGAGGCGGACGGTGCCCGCGAGGCGGAGGAGGCTGAATGATGGGGTGGGGGAGGGCGAATGGGGGTGACCAGGATCAGCACCAGGAGGGGAAGGGCGGAACGCGAGGCGGTCCCAGCCTTCCTTCTCAGGCCCGCCGCGCCTGCCTCCTCGCCGTGCTGGCCGTGTCGGTCGGGGCCGCCAGAGCGGAGGGCGAGCAGCGGGCATCGCGGCCGGCCGACTGGAGGGACCCGCTGGCCGACGGCAGCCGGCCGACTGGAAGCCCCGTGCCCCGCCGTTTCTTCTGTTGGTCCTCCTGGTCCTCCTCCTGTCCCGATTCTCGTTTTCTTTCTCCTCCTCCTGCTTCCTCATCCTCTTCCTCCTTGTAAGCTTTTCATGCTCCTTGCCGTCCTCTTGCCTCTCCTCCATGTCCTCCTCCTTTCCTCTCTCTCTCTCTCTCTCCCCCTCTCTCTCTGCGTTCTCCTTGCCCTCCTCCTAGTTATCTCTCCTCTTTTTTTGTTTTTCTCTCTCTCTCTCTTTCTCTCTTTCTCTCTCTCCATCTTTCTTTCCCTCACTTTCTCGATCTCTATTTCTCGATCGTTCTATATCGTTCACCCAGGGGCTTTACTCTGTCTGCCCAAGGAATTGGTAGGGCAACATGACTTGTCAGCTGTGGGGTGCAAGGTCCGTGGTGCCAGCTCTGCAGTGCAAGCCACGCGATGCAAGCAGCGTGGTGCGAACCATGTGGTGCCAGCCACGCGGCGCAAGGCAGGCTAAGTGCGGCCGCCCAGCGCGCGGGGCGCCCACCTGCGGCCGCGGGCGGGCCTCGAGCGACACCTCGGCACACCGACCCGGCGCACGAGGCGCCCACGACCCGCCACTGGCCAGTCCCTGCGCGAAGCCTCCGCAAGCCCACCCCGCGCACGGGGCGACCCCGAGGGGTGCCCACGACTGGCCGCCGGGTGGCCACCCAGGCGAGCGAGACACCCACGACCGGCCACCAGCAAGCAGGCCACCGGGCGAAGCTTTATCAGGAAAAGGGAATGGAGGGAAGAGGACGAGGAGGAGGAGGACGAGGAGGAGGAGGAGGAGGAGGAGGAGG